TGTATAATCGAAAACGCTATAATAGTAGTTGTGAACACGTGACCAAAACTGTTGGTTAGATAGAGAGATCCGGGTCCGAACAGCTATCTCCATCTGACCGGTCGAGAACAAAGGCGTGCTCGTTCCAGTATGGTATATATTTCAATGGTATATTTAGATAGACTATGCCCCTTCCAGTATATATGTTCTAAGCACATAACACGCGTTGTCGCCATTTTGTTGTAGGGTGTCATGGCCGAAACCGGAAATCCTGCCGGCCTCAGCTCTTTTGACGAAGTTAGCGATCTAGTACTAGTATAGACATCTGTGGTCCAATCGTATTGTCTTACGTGTCCGATCGTCAAGGCTTCTGCACACAGTACGCGGCAAGCGTTACCGCGTCTTGTGCGCAGGAGCCTTTATTTTACGATTTCCCGCGCAAATTTATGAGGCATACTTCATTTTGCATGACCTTGCATAAAATAAAGGCGCCTTTTTTTTACCGGAAGATCAATCGGATCGTAATTTAATAAGCAAAATGGTAAATAATATATGAATATAATAATTACACACATATACTTCCTATTAAGTTTTATCATAATCTTATCACATCATATTAATGAAAACAGCATCGATATCGAAATTCTCCCGCGCGTATAATTGCATTAACCTATATTTTATGATTATTTGCATAATTACCTTGATTGTTTAGGTAACGAAATCCGAGATTCGAAGAAATGGCATTATCTTCCTCGCATTACATGTGTTCACGCGCAATCCTAATTTTAGTGCTCGAGACGGATCTGAGGTAAAGACTGCCGATAGTCTCGGGATGCCGGCTCTAGGAGCGGCTCTATTTTTGCTATTTCTTAATCTGTATCACGCATACTTTTGCCACTTCTATTGCGGTACGTGCACCCCCGGCCGTGCACGGGACAGCGCAACGTGGCCGGCACATGGTGCATGCCAAATATAACAGTCGCGGGGAAGCTGTCGCCCGAAATACACAGCTACTGGCCATGTATGGTCTAACGCTATTTCTAAGCGATTTAAACACATATATTTATTTATCTTTATAGCAATTTCGGTTCTTTTACTATGAACTACTCTCATCATAAATATTATATCTGTTTTTTTTTTATCTTGTGCATTTCCTATTTAGAATATTATTTATTAAGATTATATTTGAGAAAGACAACAAAACTGAAACAAATAGATCTTGCAATATTTGCATTAGATTTGAGGGGATCTAATTATTAAAAAAATATAAATCTTTTTGAGTGTTTATGTAATTACATAATCAAATTATGTTATTTTACATTGAAGATGGATTTGCAGTTTGTCAATTTGCACACCAACGGTCTGAGTATTGATATTTGAAATATTTAGTTTGATTTTTATAGTAATATTATTAATAAAGTGATTTGAGATGGCATGAGACTGCACCAATTGCTGTATATAAAAAATAAAACTGAATCATTTAAATAGTTGCACAAGGGTGGTGGTTTTCTTCCTTAAAGTCACAGTTGGCTCATATCTTTAAGTATTTAACCACCACTATGAGAACAATATTGAAAAATCACACAACATAGAGTTATTATATAATATATGATTTTATTATCATTGTCATCAATTGTATGATATAATAACGATCCGCCGGACAGCAATATGAGCCGACGTCGACGTGGCCGGTCGTATCAAGTATCGATCGAATTCCTCGTTGTTATAATTACCTTACTGGTGTCGCAAATACCAAATTTACGCGATAATTAACGAGCGAGCGTATTTTGTGCGTACCGTAATATATATAACGTATGTATACGTGTGTATAGATGTGTGAATGCATTTATTGAACCGAGAAAAGGATTTATTACTCTCTTGGATGGGCAAAGAGATTATCAATAAATTAACGTTCATAAACAAACAGTCGTGTTGTACAAACTACAAAGTATAGTACAGTCTGGTAAATGTGTAGCATAAAAGCATTTGTATAATTATTTTATTTTACGGTCTTTTTCATATTTTGTCTTCCTCTCTTTTTCTCTCTCTCTCCCTCTCTCTCTCTCTCTCTCTCTCTCTTTCTCTCTATCTCTCTCCCTTCTTTCCTTTTCTCCGCATTTTTATAATTTCAATGAACATAGCATAACTTGAAATACGATGCATAGAAAAGAAAACAAAAAAGAGAAAGAGAAGAGTTACAATGATGATGTTGATGGACGTGATTAATTCTGAGCAATATATGTTTAGAAGCACTTGCGGTGGACGATGCCAGGGCCAGACTCGTCGTATTCCTGCTTGGAGATCCACATCTGTTGGAAGGTGGACAGCGAGGCCAGGATGGAACCACCGATCCATACGGAGTACTTCCTCTCGGGAGGAGCGATGATCTTGATCTTGATGGTCGAAGGTGCGAGAGCGGTGATTTCCTTCTGCATACGATCGGCGATACCCGGGTACATGGTGGTACCACCAGAGAGGACGGTGTTAGCGTATAGATCCTTACGGATGTCGACGTCGCACTTCATGATGGAGTTGTACACGGTCTCGTGGATACCGCAGGATTCCATACCCAAGAAGGACGGCTGGAAGAGAGCCTCGGGGCAGCGGAACCTCTCGTTACCGATGGTGATGACCTGACCGTCAGGCAACTCGTAGCTCTTCTCGAGGGAGGTGCTGGCGGCAGCGGTAGCCATTTCCTGCTCGAAGTCCAGGGCGACGTAGCAGAGTTTCTCCTTGATGTCACGAACGATTTCTCGCTCAGCCGTGGTGGTGAAGCTGTAGCCTCTCTCAGTCAGGATCTTCATCAAGTAATCGGTAAGATCGCGACCAGCCAAGTCCAGACGGAGGATGGCATGGGGAAGGGCGTAACCTTCGTAGATGGGTACGGTGTGAGAGACACCGTCACCGGAGTCCAAGACGATACCGGTGGTACGACCGGAGGCGTACAGGGAGAGGACGGCTTGAATAGCGACGTACATAGCCGGGCTGTTGAAGGTTTCGAACATAATTTGCGTCATCTTTTCACGATTAGCTTTCGGGTTTAGGGGTGCTTCGGTGAGCAGGACCGGGTGTTCCTCGGGAGCGACACGCAATTCGTTATAGAAGGTATGGTGCCAGATCTTCTCCATATCATCCCAGTTGGTGATAATACCGTGTTCTATAGGATACTTTAGAGTCAAAATACCTCTCTTACTTTGCGCCTCGTCGCCTACATAGCTGTCTTTTTGACCCATACCGACCATCACACCCTGTAGAAGAATGAAGTATTGTCTGACGTTACATAAGCGTAGCTCTTTGTTTAAATTAGAAAATACGTAAGATGTACGCACTAATCGAGTTATTATTATTTCAACTGATTTTTTAGCGCTTTGACTGGTTATATTAATTTGGAAATAGTTTAATTGTTTCGTAAAGGATTAAATTTAATTTTTATAATTTATTCTCGATTAAAAATGTATTTGAATATGATTTAACAATCCAAAGCTAAGTTATATTTTTTAAAACTCTCGGAGCGATCTAAATTTTTTAGTTGAAAATGCTAATATTTGTATAAACATATTACGCTGTGTAAAAAATTTGAGATAGAATGATAAAAGTGATTAATATAACAATTAATATAACAGCTTTTTTGTGCCATGTTGATATGTAATGTGAATTAAATATTATAATTGTGTGTTACATGTATATTAATTATTGCAGATTATATAAAGAGCTGCGACGAACCTGATGACGAGGGCGGCCGACGATGCTGGGGAACACGGCACGCGGTGCATCGTCTCCCGCAAATCCGGCCTTGCACATACCGGACCCATTGTCCACGACTAGTGCCGCAACATCATCGTCACACATCTTGATTGATTGGTAATGTTACTTTCTGTGAATATAGCGAGAAATGCAGAAAAATATTTTACAGCGCAAAATCACTCTTAATTACAAAAGTAAAGAGATGACATATTTCTTGTTCAATAAATTAACTCGATAACTTATTAATTATAATATTTGCAAGTTGAGACAATAGAAGTCAATTATTTTCTACAATTTTAAGAACATAAAAAATTTCAGAATAGCTTTTGAAAGAAAGATAAAAATTAGCGTCGACTTCTAATAAATTCCGTGTAATTATATCGCATTGAAATCCACTTATACACATTCACTAGATATCACTTTGCATTTAATTCGATTACGCAAACCTCTCCCGGCTCGCTTCGCACAATTCTCCTTGAGGATCTTTGTTGAGTACCGTCCGATCGGTCCTGGCTTCTCACCACCCCCGAATATTATCGAAACTTAAGAGAACTCACTCAAATTTGTCTCAACACCGTTTATTTGAATCACTGCCGATCCTGCGATCTAGCACCAAGGATTTTCGTGATTTTCGCGAAGCAAGGAAGACCGATCGGAGGTGATCCTCGAAGACGCACCGTGCGAAGGGGTTGCTGCGATTTGCGGCGGCTGGCTACGACTAAGCGCGGCGATTTACCGTTCACTGATGTGAGAACTGAGGGAGAGATCGGCGACGTTCGCTCAGGGTCGCGTGTACGTCGTGCAAGAGGCCCGGCGAGAGCGGCGAGTGGCGCAGTGCCGGCTCCGTGGGGTCCCTTTATCCATATCGGTCGGCGGCCGAAAATAGCGATCCGCCCCTTACATGGAAATCTGCTGTCCGCGTTAACGTCGGGCCGCGAGCCCGCGCCGCCCATTAGAGTCAGCCTAGTCCTTAGTTCGCCCTAAACAGAGGATCGGCGGTAGAGGGAGAGAGAAAGAGAGGAAGACGCCGCACGTCGCGCAGCTACGACGACGACGCGGTGGTCGTCGATGGACCCCAGGTCCAAATAAGGACTCGTCACACGCCAGGGCTGTCAACTATCGTCGCGGGCCTCGGCGAAGGCTCTAAGGATAAAGCTTGGCAGGACGAATGAGAATCAAAGGGTGAAATCTCGAAAGGCATCGGACGTGATATAAAGATGGAAAAATATAAGAGAGCTCAATGAGGAACGAAACGAAGCGTAAAGAACCGAAACTGGAAGAAATAAACTTCAAAGGATTAACTTTTCGAAGGTCACAAGGATTCGAGGAATACAATCCCAAAAAGATTGAATCTAGAATTATTTTATCTCGAGAGAAAAAGTTTCGAGAAATTGATTTTTCAAGAATGCGAAAAGATCGATATACTCTGAAATTTCACACCTCAAAGGAATAAATTTCAAAGGATTAGCATCTGCCGTGGCGAATGAAGGACCTTGAAGAACAGCGCCTCACTCTGCGGTCTGCAAACATGATCGTGACCTTACGAGATTGATCTCTGGAATGAAATAACAGGTTCAAGTGGTCCGTCCATCGTCTGGAAAATGGATACTTCCATCCTTTTTTTTTTTTTTTTTTTTTAATTATTTTCCTCCTGCGGTGCGAAGATGTTCACCAGATGGTCCAGATCGCTGCCAAGAAAAATAACTCGCATTATCTTGGCGCGTGCTGTTAACGCTGGCATCAAATCGCGCTTATAAAACATCAAGATCTGACGATACGCGACATCCAATATCCATATCGGTTCACGGGAGGGAAACGCTGACGCAGCTTGCGGGCAAAACGGTCCGATTCGCTAATTACAGCCTGCAATTCGCTATAATTATGGCAGGTGCACGGGGCGACTAGCTCACTCGAGCCATCGGGAGAGACCCCCTCCACCTTTTTGCGCCGCCGGCAAAGCCGATGCTGGTGCCGATTCGCATTGCCGTGTTTCAACCCCGAAAGGGCGCATCCTTTGTCGTCGAGCTTCTCTCGCTCATCATCGCCACGTTCCGCCGTAATAATCGTGAGGAGTTCCGGCGTGAGTGCAAAAAAGCCACCGGAGAATACCGAAGGTGAATGCCTTATTTCTTTTACTCCAAAAGGCTGAGAGTGAAGTTTTGAAAAAAATTGAATTAGAAAAATTGTAATTGGAAAGAAAATTTTGAATTTTTAAAGCAGATTTAAAGAAGTTAATTTTTTATGTTTATCTGCAAAATTGAGATTGTATGTCCATCGTTAGTTTGTTGAGAGTATGCAAGAATTTATAATCGATGTGATAAGAGAGTGACTTTGCAGCTGTTATAGCGCCAACAGAAAATGATAACGGCTTCTCTTAACTATTATTATTTAGTTTAACTTTTTGTATAAGTATGAGATAGCTTATTTAACTTGATATAGCCACCTTTCCCTAGTTGTATTTCTGGCCGTCTAACAAGATTTTACTGTATTGTTATGCCATTTCTGCCGACAAAATACTACAAAATGTATTTAGTTTTGGAATACTGCCAGAGACTCGAAACATCCTCAGCCATGTTTTATGTAATATTTGCCGTGTTTAATGTTTTATGTAATATTATCGTATTTATTGTTGTGAATAATGCACACTTATTTACATATACATCTTGCTGCAGAGCTACGAATTTGCCGAGAGACGAGCTTGAGTGGAACGCGTGGCGGAGTCATAGCTACATCCGTGGTATCTTGATCAAATCACTATCAGTGAGAGGTAACGACAATCATGATAATTTTAACATATGCAATATGTAAAAGTGCACATGTGTTTTTGCAAATTTCTCAGTAGTTTCGAGAACTAATTAGTCACAAGTTTTAAATCTTATAAAGCTTGTAGGTGTAGCATAATTTTATTCTATTATGCGGTAGCATAATTATAAAAGCTCATTATAATTGTAATATTTAACATTTTTTTTAACACTTTCTTCTTCTGAGTTTAATAACATTTTGCAATTCTGGGTTGCAATTTACATGACGTTCATGTAAAATTAGTGTGCATTAAGTCAACGAACTCTAAAGATATTTGAAAATTATTTATTTAAAGATTGATTAATTAATTTTTTACTATGAAAGAGTTAATTAATTAATCAATAGGCCAGTGCAAAACATGCTACTATTTTGAATTCTTTAATGAAAGCTATTGATTTAATTAAAAATTGTAAATTAATATTTTCGTGCGAATAAGGGTATCGAAGAATGAAAAATTACGAATTGAACGGCTGTAAGAATATAAGATCGATTTATTCCATAGACGTAAACTTATATACAAAAGATGACGTATATGCTCGTATGATGGTAATTGATAAAAGACTCGCCGCCACGGACCAATAGTAATGACAGTAATATTCGACTAACGGAGATCCAACTAGACGAAGCGATGCGGCAGTGAACGGTACATCTTAGGGAAAGGTGTAGCAATAATAACAGTAATAATAGTGAATAGCATCGAGCGTAATTGCTTAGAAGCACTTGCGGTGAACGATGCCAGGGCCAGACTCGTCGTATTCCTGCTTGGAGATCCACATCTGCTGGAAGGTGGACAGGGAAGCCAGGATGGAACCACCGATCCATACGGAGTATTTCCTCTCGGGAGGAGCGATGATCTTGATCTTGATGGTCGAGGGTGCGAGGGCGGTGATTTCCTTCTGCATACGATCGGCGATACCCGGGTACATGGTGGTACCACCAGAGAGAACGTTGTTGGCATAGAGATCCTTACGGATGTCGACGTCGCACTTCATGATGGAGTTGTACACGGTCTCGTGGATACCGCAGGATTCCATACCCAAGAAGGAAGGCTGGAAGAGAGCCTCAGGA